CGAAGGCAGAGGCTTAACCCACTGAGCCACCCAGGCGCCCCAAAGAGAAAATCTTAAAAGGAGCTCACCAAAGAACAGTTGGGCCAGCAGCTGCATTCTCTTCAGCAAAAAGGAAGGCAGAAGGTAGTAGAACACTGTCCTTTACCTCACCACAATGAGGTGCCAGAAGGAAATGACTGTCAGCCTAGAACTGTATACCCAGCAAAACTCTTTGATTGAGGAGGGGAAAACATAGGCTTTTTTTTCAGAAAAAAGTTGCGGAGTTTACCACCAAAAAATACTCCTAATCCGAGGAACTTTTAAATCACGCTCTTCAGGAATAAGAAAAATTATCCAAGAAGCTAGGTCTGAGGCACAAGAAGAAGTGATGAGAACGTGGTCAATGTGGAGGGAAGTTATTTGAAGCAAATATTAATAGGGTAAAATAATCACGATGACAGTGTTTTGTTAAGTTAAATACATATGGTAAGTTTTCAAGGGTAGCCAATAAAGAACAGTTCTAAAATTTGGCTCCCATCAGAATCACCTGGGAGCCTTGCTAAACTACAGATTCCGGACCCACCCCTCAGAGCTCCAGCTGCAGGAACTCTGGGGCAGGCCCCCAGACATCGCATCGATAAACAGTTCCCAGCTGCTGCTGATGCGACTGGCCCAGGGACCCCACTTTGAGAACGACTGAACCAAAAGCAGAGAAATTGGGTGGTTCACTTCCAGACCAATAGAAGGGGGAAAGGCAATGAGAAAACAACCAACACCTTCCATCTAACCCAGCTCTGTGCAGGGAAAAGATCATAAAAGCCACATACATAATTTTAGATTTTCTGGTAGACACGTTAAAAAGTAAAAACAGGTGACATGAATTTTAATAACAATTTTGATTTCACCCGATATATCCCCAATATTATCATTTCAAGATGTGATCAACATGAAAAGCATGGAGATTACTTTTTCTTCTCTTCTTGGAGAAAGCCTTCAGAATTCGGTGTGTATTTTATCCCGTAGAGGCTTCTCAACGTGGACAAACCACGTAACAAGACAGAGCTGGTCTAGACAGCAACAGACGTGAGCTTGCAGAGGACAGAGGTCCCCACTCAAACCCTGAGCAGCCACTGCATGCCAGACACTGAGCTGAGCGGTTAGAACACCATACGTCACCTCATTCACTCCGCACTTAGACCCGTGAGATTAGATGTTATTATCATCCCATTTCCTTGATGGTAAAGGTGAGGCTGAGAACAGTCAAAACACCTCCCCAAGAGAAGCAGAAGAGCCGGGACTCAAACCCAGGTCTCTCATATGCCAGTGCCAACCTCAGAACCTCAATACTTTACTCTGTAGAGTCTTTTCTGTAATAGACCATAGAGTAAATGCTGTAGGCTCTTGGGACCAGACAATCCATCTGGTAGGAGAAGGTAGAACCTCTTCTTCCAGAGTCAGCCTCGGTCCTCCCCGTGTTCGGAAGGATCCAGACCGATCGGCCTCCTGGCGACACTTTCTCAGACGACCAGGGCCTCAGCCGGCCTAACTCACTGCCTGACTATAAATGTGAGTTATTCCCCCTCTTTGGGTTGAGACAGAGGGGAGATAAAAGCCAGGATTGATGGAATCCCAGACATAAAATCAGGCACCATAGTGCCTGCATTTTGGAAACTGCCTTTAATTAATGGTTTATGAGCCCCAAAGACGCCCCCCTCTTCAGGCCTTCTGCAGTTCATCTCGGAGCTCAGTCCTGGGTGGCGAGGGCAGGGTGGCGAATGGCTGTCTTTCTTCAGAAACCAAAATGTATGGTTTGCTTGTCGGACCCCAGCTCTGCCTCTGGCATTCCTCGAGCCCAGACGCCCTAAGCCAGCTCTCCTCTCCGGCCTGAGGCCTGTGAGCTGCGGAGTGACCCACACGTATCCACACACACACCCGAAGTTTGCTTTTTCTCTTTGTCCCCTTATCTGTCACCCGCCCCACCACCCTCCCCTCATTCTCTCCTTTTTCCTGTTTCTCTTTGTGTCTTTGTTGTGTCTGTGGCCCTGTTCCTCTCCTGAAGGCTTGCTCTTTGAGTCTCTCTCTCCAGCTCTCTCTTTTTTTTCTTTTTTCTCTTTTTCATTCCTTCCTCTTTCCCCTACTGCCTTATAGCTTTTACCTGGGGAGGCCTAGCCCAGGGCCACTCCCCCACCCTGGGCATGGGATAGACAAGGCTACCCCTCACCTGACAGGGAGCTCCCCCCTCCTACCTGAACCAGGTGGGAGTCCTACTGGGACGATGCATGCCTGCCCTGGGAGGGGGGGGAACCCCTCAGCCCCTGAGCTGAACTCAAGCCACATTTCATCCCAGGAAGGCAGAGGGACTGAGGCAAGTACGGAGCGCCTACTATAGGTACACATCCAGAATTTATACGAGTCATTAATCTGGGAGGTAGAGAGTATTATTATTATGCCCATTTTATACATGGGAAAACTGAGACTTGAAGAAGTGAAGAAATTAACCCAGAGCCAAGGTCTGTTCAACTCCAAAGCCTCTTTCCACAAGCCCAGTCCAAATGGACAACACGGGCTGTGTCTTGGAATTTCAGGTAACCAGATGTGGTGACATGCATCTCTCCTCTTCCCAGAAGCAGGTGACGGAGATGGGACTCAGTCACAGAAAAAGCACAGAGACTCTCAGCTCTTTCCAAGCCAGGGAGGACACACCCACCTTGTGTGCCAGAGGCTCACACCTGTAGGACCCAATCAGAAGGGCTTCCCTGCAAGCCAGACCTGTCCTGGGGAGCCAGGGACCAGCAGGAGGGACACTGAGGGTGGCGACAGGCAGCAGTCTCACCAGGGAGAAACTCAGAAACTCAGGGAGGGTGGGGGGCAGGCAAGGCTGCAGAGGAAGCTGCAGATTCCACATTGCCACATTCCTGGGCGTCATGGCAACACAGGCTCAGACCAGCGACCTGCTCAGAGCTCCGTGCCATCTGCCGTTTCTCTGGGGGCAGGGAAGAGACCTTCCACCTACCTAGCATCCCCAGTCACGGAGTCCCCAGAGCAGCCCTGGGAAGGAGGGCAGGGAACTGTATTATGCATTATGCCAACCTTAGGGTGCTGGAAATAGAGGCATGAGGCATCTTAGTGGCCCGCCCTGAGTTAGGTCGCTCTGCTCAGTGCCTGCTGGACCAGGGGTGGCATCCTACTGGCCAGCAGCCATGGGCTCCCAAGGGCTCTTGGCTGAGAAGCTAGAGGGCCCCCAGCGTTGGGGAGAAAGGTTTAAGCAGAGTGTGTATGGTATGTGTGTATGGTCCCCAAGCGGAAACAGCTACTTCCAAAGAGTTTCCATGGCAGGGGCAGGGGAGGGCTGAAGGAACTCGGGAGAGGGGCTTTGTGACTCGAAAAAGACTTCTAGGCTGCGTGTGTCCGTTTCAAAAATAACATGCTTCAATGCAGAAAACATGGGAGACAGGAAAGTGTACACACACATGAGAATACCCTTGCCCACTCACAGGGGCACACACACACAAAACATTCACACATAGAGACTCACACACAATTAACCCATCACCCCTTTCCAGACACAGACTTTTAACATTTATCCAACTAGTATTTTATATGTATAAATGTATAAATATACATATATTACAGTTCTACATCATAGAATCGTGTATCATTTTTTAAATGTGCTGGGATTACATCACACCTGCTGTCTCGTACTATCCTTTTTCACTTGCCAATAGATTATGAACATTTTCCCATGTCAAAAATATCCTCCAGTGACACCTTTCTCATGAACCACATATTTTCCAGTGCATGAATGGGGGGCATCCTTCATTCGGACGAAGTCCCATCAATAACCATCTATACCGCTTCCTACTTAATTTTTCCAATTTTTATTAGAAATGCATATGTTAAAAAAAAAAAGAAATGCATATGTTCATTGTAGAATTTTGATGATGGACAAAAGTACAGGAAGAGGAAAGTAAGCTCATTCCTCCTGGCACCCAAGCTCAGTAACCGTAACTATCCGTGTGATTTCACACACGTTGTTGTAACCACTAGCTTGATTTGATGGATAAGCATTTTTTACATCGTTACGATAATTTACAATGTACAGTATCATCAGGGTCCTTCCTAACCAGGCTTCTTTTTTTAATATTTGTCATGGTATTGAGTTTGTGTGGGTGTTGATTTAACCCTACTTTAGAGAAGGAGACTCTTTCCATCTCGGTCAAGTCCGGCCTGAACCTGGTCTACTTCATCAGGTGTGTCCAGCCATGGATTGAAGAGTAGGGTTAGGAAGTGCTGGGGGATAGACATTTTCGCCTACGAGGGGCTACTCCGGAATCAGGTTTCGGTGTGTTGAGGAATGGAGCTGAGGCTCCGTGTATCCTAAGAAAATAAATCATCCAGCTACCCAGAGATGACTGCGACTGCATTGATTACAATAGCAAAAAATGGGGAACAACCCATGCTCATCAATGAGAAAGCATCCTCTGATGACTCCTGGGCCATCAAAAGGTATCACAGATCTCTACGGAGATGGAAGGGTGTTCTCCACGGTGTAAATGAGAACGGCGTATTACAAAACAGAGAATGTTGTGTCTGCGTGCGGGTCTCTGTGTGTTTGTAAGCGTGGGTCTGTGTGTGTTTGGAAACGTGGGCATTTGTGTATCCCGAAGAATATTTAACTACAACTAACAGCTGCTGTCTCTGAGTGGCGTGGGATTTGGGGCAATTTTCACTTTGTGTTTTATTTTCATTCTTTTCTAGATTAAGTTTTTAAAAGTCTGTGCTTTTGGGGGGAACAGATTACTTTTGTAATGGGGGAGGGGCAGCAAAACAAAACAAAAGCCATTTGGATTTTGGAAAGAAGGAACACATGAGAGGGACTCATCCCCACCCTCCCCCTGTACCCCAGGAGTGCAGCATGAGGGGTGCAATCTGCCCAGTCCCTGCCTCCCCACCCCGCCCCCCCACAAGCCTCCCACAGCCCCTCCCCACCTTCCCACCAAGTTTACAATTGTGTGTTACAGATTCGGACAGCCAGTGCAGCCCCACACGGCAGAGCCTCAGCCTGTCGGAGGGGGAGGAACAGATGGACCGACTGCAGCAGGTGGAGCTGGTCAGGACCACCCCCATGGCCCACTGGAAGGCCGGCACCGTCCAGGCCTGGCTGGAGGTGGTCATGGCCATGCCCATGTACGTCAAGGCCTGTGCGGAAAACGTGAAGAGCGGGAAGGTAGGGCACCTCCGGGATCCCAGCGGGAATCCCCTCCCACCCCGCCTTGAACTTTACCAACCCAAAGCTGACCTGCTCCACCCCCCACACCCCTACCCCCACCCCATCCCAGGGTGAAAGGATGTATTCTCGGAGCCAGATGAACTGGGTTCAGGCTCCAGGGTCCCCAGTAAAGCACCATGTCTCCCCAGCAAGGCACCTAGCCGTCTGAGCCTCAGTTTCCGCATCTTTAAATTGGGCCCAACCTGCCCGTCCCTGCTGCAGGGGGGCAGGACCGGGCTAGAGGGCTCCATGGGCCAGCATGTGATTCCGCTCACCTCCCGGAGCAGAGATGCGCCAAGTGCTCCGCCCAGACTGCAGAGAAGGAGGGGCAGGGAGATGGGTGGGCTCGGGCTAGCAGACCCCTCTGGGGCTCAGCGGCAGCTGGCAGCAAGTCCTGGCAGCCTCAGGTGCCCACCCCACACCTCCCTTCTGGGCACTCAGTCCTCACCTCCCTGCGGAGCAGGTGCTGCTGAGCCTGAGTGACGAGGACCTGGAGCTGGGTCTGGGCGTGTGCAGCTCCCTGCACCGGCGGAAGCTCCGGCTGGCCATCGAGGACTACCGCGACGCAGAGGCGGGCAGGAGGTGGGTCGGCACGCCGGGGCACCTTGCTCGGGCTGTGCCTGCAGGAAGAAGGAAGAAGAGATCCCCCTGGGACCTCCAGATCACACAGTGGGGGGGTGAACGGGCACTGCAGGGATGGGGGGTGGTGGGCTGTGCCCAGGAATGCCCCTGGCCAGGGGGTCCAGGCAGATCCCAGTCCCGCTCTGGGCCAGCCCTCCCCATAGAAAGATGGGGATACAGGGAATCAGTGAGGCCCCAGGAGCCCATGATCCCTGCAGCCGGGAGGCAGGATGAACTTATGCACCCCCAGAACTTCTCTATCTCCAAGGGCCAGCCAGAGCAGGTCTGGGAATTCGGCCAAAATATCCGTACTTCCACCACAATCCCAGCTCTAGCATCCCCGGAGGAGGAAAGGAGGGGTAAGGCGGGGAGAAGCAGAATGCGACAGAGAAGAAATGGACATGAAAGGCTTTCGTGCCATGTCTCCCCCAGAGGCTGAGGTCCGGAGGGGAGGGGGCCCCGTTAGCAAGTGCACCTGGGAATGGGCGGAGTTCCTCCTTTCAGGTGTGTCCTGCTCTCATCCCTCACACCTCCCCCCCCACACCCCACCTCTGTCCTACCTCCTGCCTGCCTCCCTCCTGACATTTTGTGAGCAGCATTTGCTGGGGGCCGGGGGGCTCCTTCAGCAAGCAGCTCCAGGGAACCAGAGCACCCCCCTCAGTCCTCAGAGTGCAGCGGGGGAGAAAGAACGAGCGTCGTAAATCTGACACTTTCTGTTTTGCATAATTATCTCCTTCGCTGGTTTCCCCATCGTTTTCATGCAGTTAATTAATCAAACCTGGTGGTGTGTGCTATTATTTGCAGAAGCCGCTTTGTGGATTAAAAAATGAGGGGGCTAAGGCTGGGAACTCAGGCTAGTTTAGGAGCAGGAAACCAAAGGCTTGTGCGTCCTGGAGAGGGAAACTTAGCGTGATTCCTGGGTGGCAGCAGAGACGTACAAGGTCAGATCAGAAACTCAGGTAGCACCCAAAGCAAGAGAAGCAAGAACATGCCAGCCTTGTCCGAGAGTCAGGACCCTGCGGGACAGGACCTGGGGTGAAGGAGGGGAGAGGGGAGTGATGATGGGTGGGGGGAGGGGAGCGGTGGGCATGAACTCGCTTTCTCGGAGGGCTTCGCCCCTCCTTAGGGTCCCACATGTACCTTACGCTCACCACCCACTCCTAATCAGTGCCTCCCCGCCGAATCCTCTGCCAACTAAGCTAGAGACCCCTCCTGCACCCTTGTCTCCCTCCCAACGTGGTCAGTAAACGCTGACCATGGAACAGGGTAGGGCTGCCTGCTTCACTTCGCAAAAACACAGGATCCCTGCCCAAGTTCACCCAAAACATGACTGTCCCCGAAATCCTCAGGGAACCAAGATGCCACAGCACGCGGAAGGGCGTGGGTGCAAATTAGCGGTCAGATGTGAACGGAGTTTGACAAATTCTGAGAGCTGAGATCCGGACTGTCTCCAAGGATCCTGTGTCCCCCCCCCCCAGTTAGACACCCCCAGGCCTCCTGCAGGAGGGAAGGTCTCATGCCCTGCGGAAATGTGGCCTGTCTCTAACTTGCCGTGGTCTTGCTCTCTCTGGCACCTAGTTTCTCCAGCTGTGAAGTGAAGGGGGTTAGATTAGAACAGCAGCTCTTGTAACTTTTGGAGACTACGGCCACTCTGAGAATCTCATAAAAACTGTTGACACTTTCCTTGGAGGCGATGTTATACAAAACTTGACAACTCTGCATTCTGGGACCCTTTGACTCACTCCCGGAACTTCCAGGGGCCCATGAACTCTAAGGGTAAGAACCCCAGTGAGGTCATCTTCAAGAACACATCCTGTGTGGCTCTGGGCATGACATTGCCCTCTCTGGACCTGGGTTCCCCTTATCTCTAAAATACCGACCACCAAATCCACCAGCCCCATCGCCGGTCGCTGTATGTCCATGATTTTATTTAACCGTCGCAACATCAATGTAGGATAGACATTCTTACCCCCATTTTAAAGACAGACAAAGTGAGGCCTGGAGAAATCATGCATGCAAAGCCACGCCACAAAAACCTCACTTCAGAGTCAATCCCCCTTCCGTTATCCCATGTCACCTCCACGCTAAAAACATTGACAACCCCTACTACTCACGTTTATGGGACACGGAATGCACCCCAGACTCTGTGCTGAGGGTTTCACGTTCTCTCATCTCTTAGCCTTCCCAGCTTCTGTGAGGCGACCATGATGAGCCCCATTTTGCAGGTGAGGAAGCTGGGGCAGAGACACAAGGTCCCAGAGCCAACGGGGATTGGGCCAGCAGGCCTCGTGTTTTCTGCGTTGAATCATGACCCAGATGATGTCTCAATTCTGTGCCCAAACTCGGATTTCGGGGTCTCATCTAGCTCGGTTTGGGGCAGGGACAATGTCAAATTTTATAAAACATCTGAATCACTCCTAAAGTCACGCTGTCTTGTTCAACTTGGGCACTTAACGATAGCTCAGACCAACAGCTGGGAAAGTGTTGCCAAGCTGAGGCCCCATGGGGACAACTTTAATGAAAAGAGAACCGTTCTGAAGGGCAGACGCGCATTAATTGACAGCATGTGGATGGATATTGGGGACTATAAATGGCTTCCTTCTCGTAGGTTCAGCCAGGTGCCCCTCCCCCCCTCCCCGTCCCGTGTCTTGTTGCACAATTGATTTGCTGAGCAAACCCTTCCTCAGGCGGGGAAAGAGGGCTTCTGGTCCCCACAAGTGACAATCCTGGGCCCAGGGCATTGGATGGGAGGGCTGGGAGCTCCCATGCCTGCCCAGAGCAAGAGAGCCCAGATGGTGGCTGGTGGTCCTGGGAAGGGCGTGGCTGATGGTCCTGGGAAGGGCGTGGCTCACGGTCCCGGGAAGGGCGTGGCTGATGGTCCTGAGAAGAGCTGCTCCTAAGCGAAGGCCTTAAGAGGCGCTGGGAGGAGGTCCACCTGGGACATTCTCTTCCTAGAAGGGAGCTTGTCTTGGGTCAGAAGTTTCCAGTACAGGAGCTTGGTCCTGGTGACTGGAGTCAAGGCCCCAGACTGGCTTTGTCTTCCGTGTGTTGGATTATAGAACTGAGGCTGTTGAGCCCAGGTGGGGTCCCGCCCTCCAGGAGCTGGTGGTCTGCACCGCAGGGTGGCAGGTGCAGGGATGGGGACTCCGGGGAGCTCTAGGCACAGAGAGGGCCTCTGATCCAGCACACAAGAGGCCTGGAAGGATTCGGGGCGAGCGAAAGCACCGCAGAGCCCCGTAGCAGTCAAGCAGGAGAGGAGGGTGGTGTGGGGTGGAGCACGGCTCGGAGACGACGGATCCCCGCAGTCCTGGGCGGCTGAGAGGCAGGTAGGAGACCTCGCGAAACTGGGAGCCCAACCCTTCCTTTCCTTGGCCAGTCTTCCAGGGAAGCCTCTGCTGAGTGCTGAGTGCACTAGGCCAGCTCTCCAGAGGGGAGCACAGTCTCTGGGCTCAGATCAATTCTTTTTTTTTTTTTTTTAAAGATTTATTTATTTATTTATTTGACAGACAGAAATCACAAGTAGGCAGAGAGACAGGCAGAGAAATGGGGGGAAGAATGCTCCCTGCTGAGCAGAGAGCCCGATGTGGGGCTCAATCCCAGGACCTTGGGATCATGACCTGAGCCGAAGGCAGAGGCTTTAACCCACTGAGCCACCCACCCAGGGGCCCCAGATCAATTCATTTTTAAAGTTCCATGTGTGACTGATTAGCAGTTTGAGGGAAATACTTAGAGTCAGAGCCGCAGGCTGGGGCACAGCTTTGTGCAAAACGGTCAGAGTGAGCCTCTGCTGGGAGGTGAGGGGTGAGTCCTGGCAAGGCTGGAAGGAAATGGGCCCAGGGAAAGGCCAGCCCCACAACCCAAGGGGACCAAGAGCTCTTTGCATCCCATGCATCTGAAAGGACCTCCAGAGTCCCAAGGGCAGGCCAGACAGTGCTGGGTCACTCCAAGGACTTGCTCTGGTGGGTACGCTTTGTCCCTTTCCCCCCTCTTCGATTGACTTTTTATTAACTGAATGTTCCGAACCACTGCTGGCTTACGGGCTACACTTCTTTGTTTCATTTTCGACCATGGTTCTACAGTTTGCAATATACCTCCTTAGCTTACCACTGCCTATCTCAAAGTGATATTATACAGCTTTGTGTAGAGTGTAAGATGCTTTTTGTCCTCTTGCTTTTGTGCTATTGTTTTCATACATTTTTATCTGTATGTGTTAGATGCTCCATAATACGCTGTTATATTTGTCTTCTAAACTGTCCATTCTCTTTTAAGGACATTAGCAGATGAGAAAAATATTTACCCAGATATCTACCATTTCCAATCACCTTTATTCTTTAAAAAAAAATTTATTGTAAAGTACACATATTTATCATCTTAACTAGTTTTGGGGGTTTTTTTTGCTTTTGTTTGGAGAGAGAGAGGGGGGTGGAGGAGGGGCAGAAGGAGAGGGAGAGAGAAAGTCTTAAGCAGGCTCTATGCTCTGTGTGGAGCCTGATGTAGGGCTCGATCTCACAACCCTGAGATCATTACCTGAGCCAAAATCAAAACTCAGATCCTTAACCCACTGAGCCACCCAGGCACGCCCCACCCCCATCTTAACTGGTTTCAAGTGCACAATTCATTGGTATAAAGTACATCCACATTTTTGGGCAGTCATCCCCACCAGCCATGTCTAGGACTCTCTTCATCTTGGAGAACGGAAACCCTATGCTCATGATAACACAATAAACACTAAGTCCCTGTTCTCTCCCCACCACCCCCACCATATAATGACAACCATCCTTCTACTTTCTGCCTTTATGGTTCTGACTACTCTCAGTACCTCATTTAAGTGGAATCACACAGGTTTTGTCTTTTGGGGCCCAGCTTATGTCACTTAGCATCATGTCTTCAAGAGTCTTCCATGTAGCACGTGTCAAAACATCCTTCCTTTTTTTTTTTTTTTTTAAATTTTACCTTCTCTAATTTTGGTGTGTGTCCAGGTTCTTCTTCTTTTTTTTAATTTTATTTATTTATTTGACAGAGAGAGAGAGAGAGAGAGAGAGAGATCACAAGTAGGCAGAGAGGCAGGCAGAGAGAGGAGGAAGCAGGCTCACCGCTGAGCAGAGAGCCCGATGCGGGGCTCGATCCCAGGACCCTGAGATCATGACCTGAGCCGAAGGCAGAGGCTTAACCCACTGAGCCATCCAGGTGCCCCAACATCCTTCCTTTTTAAAGCTGAATGCATTCCACTGTGTACAGAGAGCAACTTGCTTAGCCATTCCTCTGTTGGTAGATGTTGGCGGCCTCCACATTTTAGCTACTGTGGATAATGCTGCTATGAACGTAGGTGTATCGATATCTCTTTGAGACCCTGCTTTCAAGTCTTTTTTGGTATTTACCCAAAAGTTGAATTGCTGGATCATAAGGTAATTCTGTTTTTGACTTTTTGAGGAACCGCCATACTGTTTTCTATGGAGGTTACACCATCTTAGAGCCTCACCAACAGCACACGAGGGTTCTGATTTTACCACACCCCCAACAACAGTTGTTTTCTGGGTTTTTTTTAGCCATACTAATGGGTATGAAGTGGTATCTCATTGTAGAGAAATTTGCACTTCCCTAACGATTAGTGACGGGCATCATTTCGTGTGTTTTTTGGCCATTCGTATGTCTTCTTTGGAGAAATGTCCATTCAAATCTTCCCATTTCCGAATCCAGTGCGTTTCTTTCTTTCTTTCTTTCTTTCTTTCTTTCTTTCTTTCTTTCTTTCTTTCTTTCTTTTTTCTAATTGTGACTTCTAGGAGTTCTCCTCTTTATTCTTTCATGTGGGTGAAGTTTCCATATGGTTATTATTTTCTTGCCTCTTGAAAAAAGCCCTTCAACATTTCCTGCAGTTTATTCCTCTGATGATAAATTCTCTCAATTTTGGATGTTTTTAAAAAAAAAAAAAAACTTTTTTTCCTCCCTCATTTTTAAAGTAATGAATTTTTTTAGAGCAGTTTTAGTTTCGCAGCAAAATTGAAAGGAAGGTTTAGAGAGTTCTCATATCCCTCCTTCCCCCACTCCAGCACGGCCTCCCCCATCATCCACATCTCCCCCTGGATGGAGCCTTTGTTACAGGTGAGGAACCCACACCTACACCTCCTGATCACCCAGAGTCCATAGTTTACATAATGGATCGCTCTTGGTGTTGTACCCTCTGCAGGTTTGGACGAACATATGGTGACATGCATCCATCATGACAGTATATATGCTGAATAATTTCGCTGCCTAAGAAATCCCCTGTGCTCCACCGGCTCATCCTTCCGTCTCCCTAACCCCTGGCAACCACTAATCTTTTGACTGTCTCCATAGTTCTGCCTTTTCCAGAATGTCATATAACGGGAATCATATAGTACGTAGTCTTCAGATTGGCTTCTTTCACTTTGTAAGGCGCATTTAAGGTTCCTTCACTGGGAGGTTTTTTTTTTTTTTAAGATTTTATTTATTTATTTGACGGATAGAGATCACAGGTAGGCAGCGAGACAGGCAGAGAGAGAGAGGAGGAAGCAGGCTCCCTGCCGAGCAGAGAGCCCGATGTGGGGCTCGATCCCAGGACCCTGGGATCATGACCCGAGCCGAAGGCAGAGGCCTTAACCCACTGAGCCACCCAGGCGCCCCTCCACTGGGAGGTTTTAAACAGAGGAGGGACACGATCTGATTAATATTTTTAAAAGACCATCTAGCTACTGTGGGTAAAGTGGATGAGAAGGGGCAGGGTCAGGGTCAGCAGTGGGGGATGCAGGGGGAAGTAAGGAGGCAACTGCCAAAATCTATGCCAGAGGTGGTAGGAGCTTGAACCCAGGAAAGGAGAAAAGGGGACAGACATACGGACCAGAGTGACTGACAGACCTGGTGAAGGAGGGAAGAGGGCAAATGAGGACCAGAGCCGGGTGATAGCAGGGGGTGAGGAAGAGCTGGGAGAGGGGACAGGGAATTTAATTTGGAGCCCATCAAATGTGAGATGTGTGACAGGCAGGAGATGCCAAGGCAGCAGGTAGTGAGCAGCAGGGTCTCAGAAGAGAGGAGAAGAGAGAGGTGGGGGTCTTCATTTACAAATGTAACCCAGAGCCCTGGAAATGGTGCCACTGGGGAATGGAGAGTGTGGGGAAGAAGAAAGAAGGGAAGAGCCCAGGAAGGAAGATGTGCCCATTCTGTCACAGCGTCCCTCCCGAGCACAGTGGTCAGCAGCTGTTCAGTGTGCACTGGTGGAATGAAGGACAGCGAGGACCCATATAGGAGCACCAGCAGGGGGGCGCTGCGGTCAGCTCTGCTGCTGTCCTGGATAAGGGACTGGGAGGACCCAGGGGCAGGGAGACCCGTTGAAGGGCAGAGTCCAGGGCGACACAGAGGTGCCCAGAGTGAGCAGTGGAGAGTGGAAAGGAGGAAGCTGAGTCAGGAGCTGAAGTCCCACTCAAGAGTGGCTGGTGGGGCAGCTCTTAGAGATGGGGGCCCAGGGAGGGGCTGGGAAGAGGGTGTAGGGTATTCTATCTGGGGGGAGGGGAAGAATGCCGGTCCTGATCCCAGACCTGGGGAGGAGGGCAGTGTCGCTGTGTAAGCCCATATTTCCCTGTCAAGTCCTGATCCCTTAGTGCCCGCCCCCCCCAACCTGGCAGTCCTGCAGGTCATTGCTCAAGTCCCTCTGCAGGTGGGATGCTCTGTTTTCATTCCTTCTGTGAGGCTGCCACCGTGTGGCAATCAGGGAAATGACAGCCTGGGGGAGGCTAGGATCATCCTACCTCTTTCTGCATTGGAGAAATACTGGTTGTGCCCCTACTGCGTGAGCAGCACTGAGACTGGTGTGGGATAGAGAGAAAGCTGAGATATAGCCGTGAGGAGAGAGGGCTTGAAATAGGCAAAGCGGGGGTTTTAATTCTGATTCCAAGACGTGCCACTGTGTGACTCTGGGCAAAGTCTGAGCTTCCTGGTTTGTAGAAGGAGGAGAAATGGCCCAGGCCACCGCTCTGCGGGCTGCAGGGATACTGCAGAGGAGTGTGCCGAGGGGACCACACCCAGGGGCAGATGGGGATGCTGAGGGCTCCTGGATATGTCTCCTCCCTCTGTACCCGTCCCTGCTGCTCTGCCACCGTCTCTTTCGACTCCGCGTATCTGAATGTGCTTTCTTCCCTTTTCCCATTCCCTTTGTCTGCCTCTATGTTGATCCCCCTTCTCTTCTTTGGGGCTCGCCCTCTGTTTCTCTGTCTGTCTCTATCTCTCTCCTTCCACTCTTTGCATCCGCCTCTCTCCCCATCTCTGCTTTGTCTCTTTCTTCCTCTCTGTCTTTCCACTCCATCCTTTTTCCTGCCCATCTCTGAGATTTCTTGGTCCCCCACTTTCCCCCACCCTGTTCTTTCCCCTCTATCTTCATCTCTGCCCATCTCTGCCCCATTTCTACCCCTTTCCTCTGTTTCTGCCACCTGTCCCCACCCACCTCTCTCTCTGGCCATGTCTGTCCTCACCAGCCTGTCCAAAGCCGCTGACCTGGACCATCACTGGGTGGCCAAGGCCTGGCTGAATGACATCGGGCTATCCCAGTACTCTCAGGCCTTCCAAAACCACCTGGTCGATGGGCGAATGTTGCACTCCCTGATGAAGCGGGATCTGGAGAAACACCTGAATGTGTCCAAGAAGTTCCACCAGGTCAGCATCCTGCTGGGGATCGAGCTGCTGTACCAAGTGAACTTCAACAGGGAGGTAAGGACCAGAGCAGGTGGTAGAGGCATCTTCCACAGCCCTTCTTTCTGCCCCTGGCTCCCATTGTCCACCCAAATATCTGCCCATCCAGGCATCCATCGCACCGAGGTCCACCAACCTCATCATCCACGCACCCATCCACACATGCACCCATCCCTTCCCCTCTCCCTCCCTTCTTCCAACAGCTGCTTACTGGACATGGGTCAGGCCCTGTGTCCAATTCAGGGAAGTGGGGAACCCTCATCCTCCAAGAGTTCTCTGCCCATCAGGGAGAACCACAACGAAGCTGGCGACACCATAGCATGGAAAGTTGGCCCAATGAAGGAAGTCCAGGATTTTATGAAAACCCAAAGGTGTAGCTTCCAGAGGGATCAGGGAGGGCTTCCCTGAGGTCGTGACAGCTGGACTGAGACCTAAGAGAGGAATTCCAGGCATCAGTCAACAGGAGGTGTGAGGGAAAAGCAACCTAGCAGAGGGAACAGCATGAGCAAAGGCATAGAGGACAGACTATGGGGTCCCAGTGTTGGGTCTAAGGCAGGGAGTGTGAACAGGGAGGCCAGCTAGGTGACCAGGGACCAGGGGGAGAGTCAGGGTTTGGGCTCTGACTGCCCCTTTGATTCTGAGCCCTGCCGAGTCAGACAGCACGGGGCACCTCCTTCAGCTCCCCCGGGACCCAAATATTCCCAAGGCCACTGGGCCCTGCGGGGCAGAGGCTGTCCAGATGGCTTTGTTTTCTTAGAGTAAGGTCAGAGCACAAGCTGCTCAGGGTCAGGAGGAGCGGCACAGAGGAGGGATCTGTCCGGCTCTTCAGCCCTTCTCACACACCCCCACGCAGGGCCCTGGGCTCCGGAAGTAGTGAGGTGTGGGCCCTGCCCCCACCCCCAGCCCCGGGAAGCGCAGTCTGGTGAAGGAGGGAGACCTGCCGGAAGATCGTGACAGTGAAGTGTGGAAACAGGCACGACGCATGGGGGCTGGAGGCCCGGAGCCCTTTGTCTTGGGGACCAGTCCCCCCAGGGAGGCTGGCAAAAGGGGACCAGGCTGATTCCTCCACATGTTACCAGGGGTGATGTTTTGTAGGTGACGCTCATTGTCCCCGGGGGCTGGGTGCACCCACAGAAGACAGCCCTTCATGGAAGATGCTCATTGTTGGGCCCCTACTCCATGTCGGGAAAGTGGGGGTCTGGGTTGTACAAACTAGGCAGCAGCAAGTGGGCTGCACCCAGCCCTCCCCCCGAGAAGCAGGCTTCTCCCCATTTCCCAGAATGAAAGGTCAAGCCCCAGATTGACAGGGCCAGAGAAGCCGGTGCTCACCGGCCAGAACTCCTCCTTGTACCAGCATGCCAGGGCCCCCCAGCACCGTGAATGCTTGCTCCTTGGGACCCCCTGCGTGCTCCCCCACCCCCAACTGACGCATTGTCTCCCCACCCCCACAAGGCCCTCCAGGAGCGCCGTGCCCGCTGCGAGACACAGAACATAGACCCCGTGGTCTGGACCAACCAGCGGGTGCTCAAGTGGGTACGGGACATTGACCTGAAGGTGAGGGGCTGGCAGGGGGGGGTTGGGCTGGGGGTGATTCACAGGCATCTGTAAATCCCATGCATGTTTGTGTGTCCGTTTTCTGTGAGCCAGTGTTGTTGCCCAAGCAGGCGAGAATGCCTGCCTCCTGTCGCTCAAGAAGAGGGAGGGCTCACCGCACCCCTACACCAGGACCCCATTCATGATGGCTTTCCCATAGCAGGGGTGGAGAGGCTGGGCTGTCCTCTGAAGCAGGGCTGGGTCGAATCCAGGCCTATCTCATCAGACAAGTATTTATGGGCTGCCTGGCAAGATCTGGGGTTACGTCAGTGACAAAGTAGTCTTGGTCACTATCCTCATGGCCCTAAAAGAGTGGGGGCATTCCCCCTCCGGCTTATACTGCCTTATACTACCCGGTCCCCAGGGGGACAAATCCTTGCTGTGGGGGGCATGTCCCCACCTGGAGCCCGGCAGCTCCTCAGGACACCTCGGGATGACAGGGTGGCCCTCTCAGCCTCGAGGGCAGGACACCAGGACAGACCTGTCAGGCTAACAGGGCGGCCCTCCACTGCAGCCTGACCATCCCCGTGCCTTGCCCTCAGGAGTATGCGGACAACCTGACCAACAGTGGCATCCACGGTGCCGTGTTGGTGCTGGAGCCCACATTCAATGCCGAGGCCATGGCTACCGCCCTGGGCATCCCCAGTGGGAAGCACATCCTCCGAAGGCACCTGGCAGAGGAGATGAGCGCCGTCTTCCACCCAGCCACGTGAGTGTGGGCTGCTGGCTCCCGCTCTGGGGCTCCGGAAGCCGGCGATCCTGACCTCCCCCGGCTCCCTCCCTTCCCGGATCCCACTACTTCCCTACGACACAGTGGCCTCCTTCTACAGATCAGGAAACGGAGGCTCCAAGAAGCAAAGTGCTTGAGCCTGAAGGTCACAGTTGAAAAAGAGGTGGCCACGCCAGGCAGGGAGAGCGGCGGAGACAGAGGTTTGGAGGCAGGAGTGAGGATACTAATGGTGCTGATGGTCCCGGTGAGCTGGCCATGTCAGCCTACTGATCCCAGTCTCCTCCTCGGAAAAGTGGCCAGAGAAAAAGCACCTGGACAGACAGATTAGACGCCCTCCTAGTGGACTCTCTCCTTAAAATAATTGCAGTTAAGCTAAAGTCACCATTTAGTGGACACTTGCTGTGGGCACTAATTTCATCCTCATGACAAGACCAAGAAATTGGTGTCACTATCCCTCCCTTATAGATGGAAAAATCTCGTTTGAAGGGGGCCAAAGTACTTGCCCAAGGTCACACAGCTAGTAAGGAGCTGAGCCCAGATTTGTCCTTTGCTCTGTTAATATGACATATTACATTGGCTTTCATACATTGAGCCAACCTTGCATTCCTAGGATAAATCCCACTTGGTCCTTTTTACATGTTGCTGGACTAGGTGTGCTAGCATTTTGATGAGGATTTTTTACACCTGTATTTGTAAAGGATGTTGGTCTGCAGGGACTTTTTCTTGTGATATTTTTGCGTGGTTTTGGTATCAGAGTAATGCTGGCCTCATAGGATGAGTTAGGAAGTGTTTCCTCCTCTTTCTTATTTTTCTTTCTTTCTTTCTTTCTTTCTTTCTTTCTTTCTTTTTTTCTTAAGAGTGTGTGAAGGATGGGTGTCATTATTTCTTAAACATTTGGTAAAATTCACCGGTGAAACCACATGGTCCTGAACTTTTCTTTGTGGAAAGTTGGTTGTTTTTTTTTCCTTACTTTAATTTTGTTATAAATCTGTTCAGATTTTCTATTTCTTCTTGAATCAGTCTGAATAGTTTATATCTTCCTAGAAATGTGTCTTTCATCTAGGTTAGCTAATTGGTTGGCATAAAGTTAATTAATTATTTATTTATTTATTTTTAATTTTTTATTTTAAAAAATATTTTTATTTATTTATTTGACAGAGAGAGAGATCACAAGTAGGTAGAGAGGCAGGCAGAGAGAGGGGGAAGCAGGCTCCCTATTCAGCAGAGAACTTTATGCGGGGCTCGATCCCAGGACCCTGAGATCATGACCTGAGCCGAAGGCAGAGGCTTAACCCACTGAGCCACCCAGGTGCCCCCATACAGTTGATTTTATAATCATTCCCTATAGTCTTTCTTATTTCTGTAGAACTGGTAGGGCTGTCTCCTCTCTCATTCCTGGTTTCAATCATTTGAGTCCCTCTGTAATCTCCGTCAGTCTAGCTAAAGCTTTGTCCATTTTGTTGAGCTCACATTTGAATCTGAAGCTCTCTGAGTCAGAACCCTGAGTGCCGAACCCCCAAATCACATGAAGCCTCAGGAAGCAGCTGGGCCACACCCCATGTTATACAGAAACTGAGGCTTGGTGGAGGGGGCGGGGATTGTGCATCTGTGGCAATGATCCAGAAGTCTTGAACTGCCCTTCCCCATCGGCAGGCTGGTATCTAAGAGATTCTCGAAGTGAGATCCACAGACTCCGACAGCAAAATCCTTGGCGGGGACCTGGCCCAAACGCAGATCTATAGGACCAGTATTTACTGGGAGAGCCCAGGAATCTACATTTCGGGCATTTTTAAGTAGTTCTATGGAGACCAGAGTTTGATAAGAACCCTAGTCCATGAGCCATGATGCAACAGGTGCAGGAAAGAGGCTTTTCTCCTAAGAATTGTCTACCTTCCTTGACCCCCCTCTGGTGCCATGTGACCTGTAACGGCCTTAATATATTCTGAGCCCTGGACAGTAAGCACTAGCTAAAGATTAGCAGGCATTCATGTGTCTGATTAAACCCTTGACAGCCCCTAAGGTCACAGGTGCATTAAGGACCATCTAGAATTCATGGGTGAGCCCTGGGGAAGTTTCTCGTGGGGCACAAATAGGGTGGGTTCTTATGCTGTTGGCAGGCCAGGGATTCCCTTGGGAATGACAGGAAAGCAATCCTTCCAATAAGAGGATAAGGAAGAGGAAAGTGGAATTGGTCCTCATCCTCATTTTACAGAGGGGTCTGAGCTGGTCAGCCAGGGCACGGAGAGGCAGTGTCTATCCATGGCCCAGGTGTCAGTTCTCCTCGGAGCCCTTTGCTGAGAACTTCCCATAGGCCATGGGAAGAGATCTCAGTCAACTCAGGGGAAACAGAACTTCATGAGTTCCTAAGAAATTTTAGAGACCATCCCTGTTGGCACCAAGAGTCCCCGGCTAAGCAAAACACCAGGAGAGATGGTGATCTCCAGGCCTGGTTAATATCACCTCAGTACTTAATCACATGCCTGCGGATTATATTAACCAGGTTCTTCAGGCTTTGCACCCAGGACATCTCTGCAGCAGTCCAAGCAGTGAAGATGCCCTGCCCACTGCCCTCTTGCTCCCCCTCCTTCTGTTGCTGACTTCAGCTTTCCGGAGAGAGAGGGAGCAGGGCAGGTGGTGCTGGCCCTTTAAGGCGAGTCCTTCCAGAATGCTCTGATGGGGTGGAAAGATTCAGATGGAGAAACATCCCTGACCATTGAATAGCTATCAAGAGCTAACCCAAGACTCCATCCCAGGATAAATCCAAGGCTTGGAGCCTGATGAAAGGCTAGGGCAACATAGTGCATAAAGCAATTGGGAAAGGAATGCAGGTACGGCGAGGGGCCCAACAACACAGCTATTATCAATGATTTTTCCAAACCCACTACCAGCACCTCCCTTTCTTCCACCACAGGGGAAATGGCTGGAAAATGGGTTCAAATCCGGGCTGTGCTGCTGTCTCCTGTATTAGACACAAGCCAGTGACTCCAACCCTCTGAACCTCAGTCTCTCATCTGTAATATGAGAACATGAGTCCTCTCTTCCCTGCGGCTTTGTTAGGATTCCAGGAGGCAAACTGTAGGCAGTGCTCCTGACACAGACCCCCCTCCCGAACAACTGATAGTTCACGCCTCCCGGCTTCACACGCGCATCGGAGTGTCTCCGTGACGTGCTTTCCTCTGGAACTGGTTACGTGGGGCCCTCCTTCCTGTTGATGTGCATGTTCCGGCTTTCTCCTTAGCATTTCAGTGAGAAAGAGCCATTCCTCCGTGAGCTCCGACAGACTTTGCTTTGAAGCACACAGAAGAAGACGCCTTGTCATGTCTCCCACCTCTGTGGCTGGCAGGCTTCCCAAGCTACAGATTGGGGGGACGGGGGTGCTCCCAGGGGGGAAGGGACACACTGAGATATTCGGGCACCCATGACAAGGTGATGTGTTAGGACGTTCTGCCCACCCAACCCCTGGCAGTGATTGAAATGTGAGCCTAGGGACCAGGTGCTAGGGTAGTTCAGGGGTGGTCCCGTGTAATACGGGGGACAGAGCAGGGCCTTCAAGGGCTCAATTCTGGCTCCTCCATCATCATCTGTGTGATTTTAGGCAAGAAACTTGCCCCCTCTGAGTCTCAGTTCCCCCAATTTGAAATGGGGATAATCACCCCTTCTCAGGGTTTCTGGAAGGGTTCAAGGACCTCAACTCCGTCCTTACAGCGAGAAAGTAGGCTAGATAACATGAAAACTAATAGGCGTGGCTGGGTTCCAATAAAACTTTATTGGCAAAGTCAGTCTGCTAGCTGCCGGCTACAGTTCGCCAAATCCTAGTCTAACAGAAGCCTCCTATGCTTTGACACAAGGAGCAGTGGGGTCGCTTCAGGCACTAAGTCAGTGGTGGGGGCAGGGGACACAGATTCAAATGCAGAGTGGGGGAGATTTTCCCAATGCTTCTCAAGTCAAACCAGTGAGCTCAAATGGGGGGATTCGCCCACCCAGTCCTCCCTTTCCTGGGAAGGTTTGTAGCACGCTGGAGGGAGAAGAGCGTGACCTTGGAGTCTCAGAGACTTGGTTTCAGGTCTCGGCTCTGCTGCTCCCAGCTGGGTAATCCTGGACAAATTGCTTAACCTCTCTGGGCCTCCCCCCCCACCCCCGCCTTGCCCCAACTATCACGCAGGGATGCTGTGAGGACTGCATTCAGAAAACATTTAGCATGCGGGGGCACACAGGAGGTCCACAGTACATCACAGCAGTTATGGTCATTGTCACCCATGGGAGAGTGTGTGTCTCTTGGGAGGGCTGTAGCTGACTCAGTATGGGTCTCTGTCTAGCTCCTCAGGCATCCGGGAGGCTGAGCGTTTTGGGACACCCCCAGGGAGGGCCTCCAGCATCACGCGGGCAGGGAAGGAGGAGAACAGCGGTGGCGGTATCAAGTACAAGGCTGGCCGGGTAAGTCACTGGATGCCTTCACCCGTGAGTCCTACAGCCCGGGGGAGGTCTTGTTGTCATCTGTCCCCTCCTAGCTCCTCTTTGGCCTGTGGAGGAGGACCGAAGGGCCAGGTCACAGGTGCAACCAGGAGGGAGGAAGTCACCATCAGCTGACCTGCAAGATGCTTAAGCCCCACCCCCAGCCCCCCCAACATCCCCTCGCCCCCAACCCCGCTCCCCCCAGGCTTAGAGTAGCATCTGGAAGCACAGGTCTCACCTGCCTGCGTCAGGATCACCTGGGCAGCTGCTTTACGGGACGTTCTGGGACCCACCTGGGTCTCAAAGCCAAGGCTCTGGGGTGGGGGGGAGCCCTCGCTGCAGCTAAGGTTTTGAACTTCAGCGACCCGACCGACAGCCACAGAGTAGCCTCCGGTCTGTGACAGGGCACGCAGTTTGCCTCTGTTCACCCAGACTCGGACTGACCCCGATTCCTAAGTGGAAGCGTGTCGGCACAGACGGGAGAAGAGGATAATCCAAAATCCTCCCGTTCACTAGGCAAACATTTTTTGGGTACTGATGGGGTTGGAGGCACCATCCTGAGCGCGAATGGGGAATGCATGAGTAAACTCACCGTACTCTCCCAGTGAGCTCAGTCTAGACCATGCAGTCTTGAAGGGAGTAGAAATTGGTTCTCAGGGGGAGAGGCAAACCCCTCACCCTTTCTCTCTATGAGGAACAGGTATATATACAGGACGTGAACAGAAGCACAGTGTCTTTGGTGTGAAAATTTCATGGTGGGGGGGTGTGAGTAGGGGGAAAATATCTTAAAAGGCTCCTTTTTTAAGGTGGCAACACTGACCAAAAGGTTGAGGAACAGTAGTCTGGAAACAAAAGCAGTCGGGGACATGACGAGTTACGATGCGCTGTCTGGATTATTAGCATAGAGAGATGTTCACAATAAGAGAAAAGTCTGTCTGGGAGCCTGGTGCATCTCACAATAGTAGCTACCCTTTGCCAGCGCCTCGCTGTGTGCTTCACAGGTCTGATTTCTGCTCTTCACGACTACTCTGAGAGAAAGGAATCGCTATTCCCCCTTGGAAACTGAGAAAACGGGGGCTCAGAGAGGGCAGGCCACTGGTCCAGGGTCACACAGCTGGAAAGTGACAGAGCAGGGATCCACACCCCGGTTTGTGAGCCTCCAAAATACATGCTCTTTCTGCCACAACAGGAGGTGCTAGAATATTTCTTCCTGACCCGGGAACATGGTCAGACTTCACGCCCATGCTCAGACATTCTCATTTCTCCTCCATCGTACCCATTCTCAACTCTCCTCCCGCTGAGGAGGGAGATGGGAGGCTTTTGAGGATAATCAAAATAAGACTGTATTTGTCCTCACCCTTAGCAACTACCAGTTCCTTCAGTTGGGAACGTGAAGCTCTCTCATGAGGTTAGCTCACAAAATCCTCTCAGTGTCTCTGAGCAGCGGAGTAGGATTACTAATAGGAGGAGCACAGAGAGGTTAGACAAGTTGCTTAAGGTCACACAGCAATTAGAGCGGGGACCTCCACATTCCCCAGATCCAAAACACTCAATTCCTCTTCTCTTCTCCCCACTGTTTCCTCTTATTTCTCTCCTCTCAGCTGCCCCTGGGGAAGATAGGAAGGGGCTTCAGCAGCAAAGACCCCGACTTTCATGATGACTATGGCTCTCTTCAAAATGAAGACTGTGGAGATGATGACCCCCAGGGCAGGCCAGAGCAGTGCCGTCTGGAAGGCTACAACGGCCTCGAGGTCACCAACGTGTAAGGAATGGATTCTCCACCAGACCCAGCACAGACACACCCAACCAAGGACGAGTATCCAGATGCTGTCACCACTGTACATAGGGACCACGGGCCAAGGATACTCCTCTACTCCTGGGCAAAACCCCAGCAGACGGGAGCTCCAGGGAACAAGGTGGCTCCAGTCTGCCTGTCTCGAGCAGGCTGTGGACCTTCCAGCTCAGTGGAAGGACCTGTCGACATAGCCTCTCTGTAACCCAGGCTCCCCCTCAGAGCGACTGTCAGCCAGTGAGCAGTACAGGCGGTCCCTGGAGCCTTGAACGGAGCTGCCAAGAGGGAAGGAGGCCGGCGGTTCCCCAAAACACCCTTCCAGAAGGAGCAGGCGGGACTCCAATCAGACACGCAGAGCCCAGCACTGGCAGTGCTAGGAGCCAGCAAAGCATGAGGCTGACCAGTGGGCCCTTCTGGCCAGCCTCAGGGAGCTCTTGGCTCCAGTCCCCGTATCCCCGATGACTGAGAACTCCGGTTCTGACTTGGGTCACTGAATCTCTCTTGGGAGAATGCAAAATGGGATGGTCATTCCCTTCCATCCTAAAAGCCGTGTGTCACACAGGGTGGACACGTAGAACGGCTATTTGCCTTCTCCTCCCATGAGTGGCTGCTCTGGGCAGGTGGAGGCAGGTGGGTGATCAGGGAGGGGTGGGGCTTAGCAGCAAAGTTTCTAGGAAATGCAGATTTCCTGTCACTGGGATAAAGGATATCCTGAGGATAGGAGCGGGAATGATGGACTTAGATCAGTGACAACCAACTGTGATAGTGGGTTTGGGATTGGGAGCAGGGAAATGCTTGTCACTGTTGACCCAACAACAGTGACACTTGGTTGTGATTTCTCAGTCACCTGAAACAGGTGTGCTTCCCAGCGCCCTCACTGAGATGAACCTTGCAGAGCAAAGTCATGAAGGTGATGGAGAGAACCCCCAGCCCTTTGCCTGACTCTGCCACTATTCTGCTGTGTGACTTCTTCCCGGTGGCCTCACCTCTCTGTGCCTCAACGTCTTCATCTACAATACTCCTGGCTCCCTCCCAGGGACGTCATGAGAATTAACACTTGCTAATGTCTGTAACACACTTTGTAACCTCTCAGGAGACAGGTGGGAAGGTATGGGGACAGAAGGAACGGCCCGATATCCCATTCACGACACAGACATTGAACGGGTCCTCTGCAGCTGTGTTCTGGTTGGGGCCATGTGCAAAAGGAGGACAAGGAATGCCTACCGTTCAGACTCTCTAGAGCCCCCAGTAGGGCTTGACCAAAGAGAGAGGGGAAAAGCCCACATTACACCACCCTGGAAAACCAGTCTGATTCATGTGTTCGGGCTTGAGCCTGTTGACCTTGGCGTTGAGTGATGATTTGGGAGGGCCAAGATGCATCGGAGTTCTACTGATGCTTGGGTTGTCAGAATCATTTGTTGGGATCACAACACTGAAGCCATTTGCCCAAGAGTCACGAGAGGTCTGAATTTCCAAGACTCGACCAGGTAAGTGACAGCCTCTGAGAACTGTCAAAGCCCACGTTCTTCAACCCAACGAACTGTTTGCCCTCCTAGGAAAAGCCTCAACCAAGGCATGATGAACTTGAGAATGACTCCTCCCCAGGGCTGACAACCATGGTTTTCTCTCTGACCTTAAGCACAGCTTTTCTTGCCCCTGGAAACCAAACGCCTGGCTGGTGGACAGGTGGATGGCCCCTGCCTTTCGTCTGAATGTTTAGCCTCCGAGGGTCACATCTCCGACTCCAGGGGCCTGAGGGAGAAGCTCCGGTATCTAACTTAGCTTTGCTGGGGTTCCGAACCCCAGGATCCTCATGACATGCAGCCACACAAGGCGCCTGAAGATGCAGAGCCCACAGCCAGGATTGGGGGGCTCCCCTCTAACCTGATGCCCCAGGTCCCTCCCAAGCCAGCATCCAGGCTAGGCGACCCGGGGCCCCAGGATCTGCCTCTTGCAAGCCAGGCAGGAAATAATTCCCACAGGGTGAGGAAAGGTGGCACAAGGGGGCCCGTGTGCAGCTCTGAATCTTTAAAGCCAACGTTGACCCGAGTTGTCAGATATGAACCTGGCGCTCCCCCCCATTCATTCCCATAGGGGATAAGATAGGCAAGTGGACAATTTGGGGGGTCACTGGCGGGGATGGCATTGATCTCCCCCAAATTTGCAGCATCAGGTCAGCAGGCCTGGGGCAACGCGAACAATGTTGTAAGCACCTTCCCAGTCCCAGTGGTACATTTTCTCCCAGCACATGGTCCCATCCTTCGCAGCCAGAGGAGCGTTTGGAATCGGCTTTTCACACGAGGACAGGTCGGCTGATAAATTAACAACCTCCACACACAGTCAAATCCGGTGGGCTTTGTCTGCTGAAGAGAAAATCCCAAACGTCTGCTCTGCTTCAAGGGTGGGCAGGACTGAGTGGAGAGATTCTGGGAGCAAACGGACTACAGCTGGCAGAGCGGCCACGGATGGAACAGTGACCCACCATGGCCTGTCCACAGGGCCCGAGGTGTGGTCTTAGGGCTTTCGGACCTGGGAATGCTTCTTGGAGAGGTGTCCTCGGCGCCCATGGGTACTAGCCCCTTAAAAAGAGGTAGTCGGTGCCAGAGGTTGGGGAGAACCAGAGTAAGCAGAGGCACCCCGTGTTTCTGCGAGAAGCTGGGGACCCGAGCCCTCGGAAGGCACCTGCCCGGCAGACTCTCGGCTTTAGGACCCCAGACCCCTCTGAAAGGCCCCTTTGTCATTAGCTATGCAGAGCCTTTCTCCTAAAAATCTGTCATCAGGGTCCAGGTTACAGAAGGCAGGAAGAAGCCACAAGAAAACCTGGACCAGATGCGGAAGAAGGGAAGGGGCCTTTGCACAGCCCAGAGTCACAGAGGCAGGGGAGGGAGAGCTCAGAACAGTGACCCCGCATCTTGAGGTCCCTCAACAGGGCTGCATGTGGCAGAATGGGAAGATTCAGCAGGACGAGATTTTGGTGTCTGCTGTGGGGGACCCCGGAACCCTCTATGGCTCCAAGCTTAGCCCTCCCACCCCCCAGCAAAAACCGTATGTCCGGGCACCGTCCCTTCCACGCTGCTCTTCCAGGCTCCAGCGGGCTCCCAGCAGCGGAGCAGCGAGGAGCAAAAAGCCAGGGGACACAGCAGCTTCCGAAGCCAGCATTACTGCCGACGGCTGGCTGGTGAGGAGTACTTCCCAACACAGAGGCAGCTTGTGGCCACAGAGAACCAGTTATCCTGAGCAGAGATGATGCCCCTGGCCTTTCTGTGGCTGGTCACGGCCCCGTGTCTTCCGAGGAGTGAATTTTAACACTATAACAATAAATACTACTGCACAGTGCTTTACTGATCAGGTAGCCTTTTTCTCTCATTTAATCTTGCCAACAGCCGCTTTGAGAGAGGAGATTACCGACCCATTTCCTAGATGGGGAAACTGAGGTTGGGGAGGTGGAGGAGCTTTCCCAGCTCCAAAAAAGCTAAGAATTCCCAAGGCAGGGACTCAGACTCAGCCCTCTGCTTCCCCACCCCAGGCTCGTCTGACCCCCCTATACGATTCCCACCACCCCCATGTCGGGGATCCACCCCTTCCCCTACCTCCCAGGGTAGGACCTACTTCACCAGGTGACATCACTCCAAGTGGAGTTCAGATGCGCTCTGTCCTGCTGGAAAAGCCTGGGGCCTGCCCTCCCGGTGCCAGGAGGGAAACATCTGACACGTGACCCCTCCCTTAGCATCAGCCACTTGCCCGTGTCACTCATCCCAGGGTACTCATTTTCAGCTCAGGCTGCCGTGACAAACATCACAGACTGGGGGACTGACACAACAGACATTTGTTTTTCCCAGTTCGGAGGCTGGGTGTCCGAGATCCAGGGGCCAACTGATCCTGCTCTTGGGCCCTCTTCCTGGCTCGCAGAAGCTCACCCGTGGCCAGGGGGACTGAGCACAGACAGCGGTAACGTGATGGAAGGTGGGGGCTCCCAGAGGACCTATGAACTGAATCCTAAGTTCTGAGGAGCCAGCCCTGCTAAGACCCCAGGGAAGAACATTCCAGACAGTCAGAACTGAGCTGGGTGCTGAGGATATAGTGGTGAATGAAGTCCTGCCCAGCCTCTGCTGTTGCAGACCTTCCAGTCCAGCGGGGAAAAGAGACACAATCAACTACTCCTCGAGCAATGGGAGAGTGTAACCACGACCGGTCTTGAGAGCAGAGGTAGCTGGTAGTTGGGAGGGCTTATCACATGGGCATTTACTGTAGTCAAGAGGAGGTGAGGCCTGGAGAGAGGAGAGTTCAGCAGGTGAAGAGGAAAGGGAAAAGGATTCTAGAGAGTAGGGGCAGCATGTGCAAAGGTCCTGTGGTAGGAGGGCCAGAGTAAGTAGGGCTGAAAAAAGGCCCACATGGCTGGGAGAAAGAAGTGAAGGGCTCATCTCCCAAGAGTGCTGGAGGGATCTGCTGGGCTCCTGCCGATCTGTGTCACTCTGATTGCAAGCAGAGCTTTCTAATAGGTCATGAAGTCCCACCTTTTGCCGACGGGTCCCTCTTTCCCTTTGCTCTAGATCACAGCTAAACTGGGCTCCTTGGGCCACAGAATGACACAATAGGCCCATGAGGTGGCTCCAGGGCTGTCAGGGCAGAAATGACTTGAGGCCAACAGAGGTGTCACGTGCCTCTTTCGTGACCACAAGTAGAAACCGGAGATGTCTCTTTGAAGCCCTGCTCATCAAAAGAGGATAAGCAGAGTCTCTGGGTGGAATCTCATTGGCTCCGTGGGATGGGGTCTCCAGCCTACCAGCGATGGGGGCAGCCCACCGGGTCTCATGTCCTGAGGGATGAGTGCCCGTGGCTCTTAGGGGACTCTGGCAGTGGGTGCTTTAATGTGGCCTAAAGGTTTTCTCTTCCCTGATTCAGGTCTCCCCTCCCTAGCAGTGGGGCAAGCATGGATCCCAGGGGAGAAGAGCCCCCTGATATTCAGAGGGCAAGAAACTTGAGTCCCAGTACCCAGCAGTTCACAGGAGCAGGGACAGATTCAAGGTCAGATCCAGAGGTCAGACCTAATAACCGCCAGCCTTGACTGGACACACATGCCCTGTCCTTCACCGCAGGATTTCCCAACCTCAGCACCGTTGACGTTCAGGACATACTTTGTCGGGGGCCTATCCTGGGCATTGCAGAGTACATAGCGGTATCCTTGGCCTCTTCTTGGTAGATGCTGGGATTGTCCCCTCCCCCTTCTAGTCATGACAACTCCCATATTTTTCCAGACATCACCAATGTCCCCTGGGGAGGCAGAATTCCCCACCCTCCAGTTGAGAATCCCAGCTGGACATGTTTTTGCCCGGTGAATCCCCCCAGCAACCCCTTCAGGTAGGCATGGCTTTTCTCATCTGACAGATGGGGACACTGAGGCATGGAGCGGTTATCTAGATTCCCAGGGTCCTGGATGAATGAGTGGGACCGGGGAGCAGACTGGCTCTTGCCAGAGTCTGGGCTCCAGACCAATGGCCTGGGGCTGAACGGCCACACCCAGCTGTTACAGTAAAAAAAAGTCCTAAAGCCAGGTGCTCCCAGGGCAGAAGAGACTTCCTCCGTATTAAGCACGACATTATTGGAAGCTGGACCCGCTCCTTCTGCTGGGCAGAAAATTGCTCTGTAAATTACAGGTTTGAAGGCAGCCCCATGAGCTCCTGGCTTAAAACAAGGTAATAATTTAGGGCCTAGAACGGTCTGGTTGAGTGAGTTCCTATAATAGCTAATCTCACACCACACCCCCATCATACCCATTTTATTAAGACACAAACAAACAAAAAAAAAAAACCAGGAAACAAAAGCATAGGTTTTGGACACTCGCCCAAGGCCTCGTAGCAAATTAGTGACACCAGCTGAGGCACTGGCCCACCTTCCTCTTCCAACCCCACCCGGAGTCACAGACCTGGCCCAGGGCTGACTGTCCCTGCAGGCTCGGCCACAGACCCAAGCTGTGTGGTCTGGGGCCCATTCCTTTCCCTGTCTGGGCCTCCCTATCCCTGCCGAGCACGTTTTCCCCTCCTCCGCCAGAACTGGGGGATAGCTCCCCCTTCCGTTCTCGGGGGTGGGGTCGATCCGGGGGCTCCTCTTCCCCTCCCTGCCTCCATCCCCCCATCCCCCCTCCACCTCCACTCCTGCCTTCAGAGACATCACAGGATCC